ATTAAAAAAAGTAAAAATTTCATATACAAATTTTAATGCAAGGTAAAAACAAACAAGAAAAGACCAGAAAAACGAACAAAAAATATTTCGGTTCAGTATACACTACCATTTTATTATAATTAATTTTATAACAATATATTGATGGGAGAAATTCGATAAAATAAATTCAATTTTAGAAATGCTTTGCGGGCCGCATAAACATGTTTAAGGGGCCGCAAGCGGCACGCGGGCCGCGCGTTGCTCATCCTTGCTATAGGATATTGTAGCCTGTCGTCCCTGTCGTTGGCTTTGTATAATATGCTGCATCTAGTACTTATGTCATTATTTCTACGTGAAGATTTAGACCTACGATTTAAGTTACTACGCGATAGACCAAACCATTAGATAGTATTATTAGTATTCAAATAAATAAATTACATGTTCTTTATTTTCTTTTAACTAAGGAATCGCAAAGGAAGGCTCAGAGTCGCGACAAATGTATGCATATTCTACAGTATTCGTCCCCTCTTTTAAAAGTTACAACTTGTTTGCAAACTCTTAGTCTTGCCAACTTTTTTGGGCGACGGTAATCATCACCACCAGGTGACTTTTCGTCCTTCCTCCTTTTATGTGTGTTGACACTTAAAGAATTCGCGACTTGCGGTTATAATTTCGGATTTTTGTTAATTAATTAAGTAATAACCAGTTGTCTTTGAAACATAGATCTAGACAAAGATATATCAAGAAACTTTAACTGTAAATAATAAGTTAAAAAAATACAGAATAAGCCTGTTGCGGTACAATGATTACCCGATAAAAGCCAGATAAGATTCTTGAACCTACTAAACACCTTACAAATTTGCATAGCTTAATCATTTATCATTCCGATTAGAAACAACCGAAGAAGTAATATGTCCTTAAACAAACCCATCATACAACACAGAGCGTATGTAGTAAATTAAAAAAAAGCCAATGAAAAAGAACCATGAAGAATTTTCTTTCTGAGCGTCTCCTACCATTGAAAAGCTGTCAGAAAAGTCCCAGCTGTGGTGTGACGAAAGTCCCTACATCATTTCATTTTACATCTTTCTAGATTATGAGGCGCTCTGGAGAAGGCGTAAACGTGACAAAGTACAATTTGTGCGCGTTGCGAGAATTAGATATGCACATATTTTAGTGACAGAATCTATTCAAAGCCACCGAGGGTGGAATTTGAATAAATACATGCCTTCAACGAAACGAAGAAAAAAACGCGATGAAAAGAAATTCCTTTTACACTTTACCTCCTTTGTGTAAGACGCGCAAAGGGCTGAAAACTGAAGCCAAATAATGTGCTCTTTTTACGTTGTCTACGTAAAAAGAAACGTATTTTCTCGTTGAAAGGTAATTGATATCAATGATAAGGTTCTTTTCGTAGACTTTATTCATTATAGAAGAAATATTATTATAAATTGTTGAGGCGCTTTGCATGTAAACTCCGTATGGAATCAGTAAAGTTCAGTTCGCTTTATGGAATGCAATTTTTTTCTTTAGCCAGTATCCTCGTTTCGTACCATTCAAAAAGTTTCGTAACAAACCAAATTGTAAGCTCGTATTTTGTTGTTCGCTATTGTAATGCGAATTCATGTTTTTAAAAATATTTTAATGTTTCCATATAGGGTGTCGTCATTTGAAACTGGTTTACTTTGTAATTTGTGACGAAAACAAAGTACGTATCGCTTATTCATATTTTTTAAAACATAAAAAAAAGTAGAACCATGTTTTTAAAATAATTAGCACATAACCTCTTAAATATTTATTTTATATGTACTATATATATATAGTACCCGGAGGACCGACCTTTGCTCGGTTTGTTTTTTTTTTTTTGGTAAATCGTGTATTTTGAAAATTACATTTAGATACAAATTACTGAGTAATTAAATATGCATAATATTTTTCGATCTTACCGACGTAATAATAAGAAAATATGAACTGATGTTTTTCACAAAAGAAAGAACTTTAAAAATAGGGAAAAAAATAATGAAATAACAAATTGACAAGAAATTAAAAATAAAGAAAGGAATCGAAAAAAAAGTAAAAAAAATAAATGTGTAAATGATCGTGACGCGAACCACGGCCGTCTGTTTTGGGGCCGCCCGATTACCGACCGAGCTATTATGACATTTTCTCTTGCGGCGAAATTTACCGTCATATTCGAATTATATTTTTCATTCCCTGAAAACAGGGATAAAAGGGCATTTTTTAAAAATGAAACCTAGTTGGATCGATTTTTCGCCCCCGAATCTACGCAAATACTAAATTTCATGAAAATCGCTGGAGCCGTTTCCGAGATTCCAATTATATATATATACAAGAATTGCTCGTGTAAAGGATAAGATATATATATATATATATATATATATATATATATATATATATATATATATATATATAATGTAAAAGTTTATATAATAAATTTAAAAGTTTTTTTTTAATATTTGATAAGGTAAGGCAGCAAGTGATCTATCCGTGTCCGCTACAATATCTGGCATATTTCGCGGATGCGTTGCTAAACTTTAAAAAACTTCAGTCAGAAATAGATATTTTTCCGTGTAAAAATATTGTTTTTAAATTTTAAAACTGCTTGTTCATTGCAAGCGAATTTATTTAAAAAGCTCTAGGAGTGATTTAGGAAACAAACTGAAAAGAAGAAAATGTAGAAGAGGAGAACGGAGGAAAGAGACAGACATTCAGAGCTTTTTCTTTATTACGGGAGTCTTGAAAAAAACGTTTTAATTGCGCTGATTTGATTCATTACAACTCCCTGAATACGAAAAACCATTTGACACACTCTGCTCATTGATTTTATGAAATCCATCTAAGAGATAGTGGGTATTAAGGTTCATTATTGTTGTTCTCAATACTTTTACTATTATTACTTCGCTATTGGTATCAATGGAATTCCGTTGATTATTGTCATTCTTAATAATTTTACTCGATGTATTATTCGATGAACACAATGTGAACGATTCAATGGCTATGTATAATTAATAAAAAAGTAAAAAAATCTAAAGTTACTAAAGAAAACATCGTTATCGCTGGCATCCGAGAAACCTAGCCAATAACTGATCTCGACTCTTGTATATCAAGGATCTTTGTTGCCTGGACCAAAACGATTTGATCTAAACTTCAATCAATATCGATGTGAAACGTGTGCAAAGCGTATACCGAAATGCTCGCCAGGTCCCTAACTATAACGGATGGCATTTAATTAATACACGTGTAGAGCCTACGTGCACATGTGTGTATTAATTGCGGTCGATCGGCCAACTATGTCGCCTCCGACCGGGGTCTGGGCCGCTTAGCCTTAATTACCATGTAGATAGTCCCCTCACGGACGGATTCCCAGCTATATTCCCTCTAGCATGCGATGTACCTGACATTGCTTAAATGCTAACTTATTAAGTGATTTAAGAACGGATATACAGATGTACTGTTGGCGATGCATTAAATAAACAAAAAAATATAAAGTGTTAAGTCGTTTAATTTCTCAACAAGTATTTTTTTTATTATTAAATCTTATTATTATTTAATTTTATTTAATTTAATGATCTAATGGGACTGTTAGGTTTTTAGTTCGAATATAAATAATCTCTTATCCTTTAAACGAGCAATTCTTGTATATATATATAATCGGAATCTCGGAAACGGCTCCAGCGATTTTCATGAAATTTAGTATGTGCGTAGATTCGGGGGCGAAAAATCGAACTGACTAGGTTTCATTTTTAGAAAATGTCATTTTGTCCCTGTTTTCAGGGAATGAAATATATAATACGAATATGACGGTAAATTTCGCCGCAAGAGAAAATGTCATAATAGCTCGGTCGGTAATCGGGCGGCCCCAAAACAGACGGCCGTGGTTCGCGTCACGATCATTTACACATTTATTGTTTTACTTTTTTTTCGATTCCAGATCATTGCTTTCTTTATTTTTAATTTTTTGTCGATTTGTTACTTTGCTATTTTTTTCCCCTTTTTTTTAAAGTTCTTTCTTTTGTGGTTCTCCGGGTACTATATATTTGTAGGACACATTTTTAAACAACGTTCTCTAGTCCCAAACTAAGCAACGCATGTACTATGGGTACTAGATAACTGATAAACATACTTTTCGAACCTACGCCCTCTAACGCAGGAGGCAGGTACACTACTCACTACGCCATTCGGGTCTTCGGTCTTACATTCGATTATTTACGTTTAGTGTATATTCGTGTGCTCGTACACTTGTGTGCGTGTACGGTAACACGCTTCGGAAGAGTAGATGCTCGAAAGACGATGCTTCTATATTTTCTCATTTACCCTTGAAACTGTATCAGCTCAATGTCTGATTAAATTCACTACAGTCGAACAATGTCAGTTCAAAATCCTTTGATGGGAACAAAGAATTGTTTATTGTAGTCCTTAGTGCTGATAAAACAGCACCACGTACGCAACGTTGCGGTGAGAGAGAACTAAAGGAAATCTATTTCTTATGTGAGACGGTGGAAAATATGTTGGTGGTTCTGGTGTGATGTTAAGTGACAACATCAGGTAGTTCACCTATAGATATCTGTAGCACCACTGAGGTGCAACCTCCTTTGATTAGTAACCTGCTTTTGGCTCACCAAAAACTGAAGTAAGCAGTAAAAAGTTTAGTAAGTGCAATAGTAAGTAGTTGTATATTACTGAAATAGTTTTATTTGTTATGGATTTCTTTTATCTCAGCATCACTTTCGTAGTAAGTGGGCTAGATAAGAACGCGTCGCATACTAAGCGCGCATGAGTTGGTACAAAAATATAAGGAAAATAAAATCTGAAGTACACATCTGTGTCAACTTTACATACTTGTATTTATTTGTTGGATTACTAACGTAAGTTACGGCCAATTAAGTTAAATACAAATTATTTGATGCATGACACAGTAGATAACTGCTCTCACATTTAAGCAACCACATCATGTTGTTGTGTCCTGCCACTGTTATGAAAAATCTTTAAACATTTCTTACCTCAGCGCTAGCCCATCTACGCGGTCCTCGCTGGCGATGCTGGACCTAGGCGAGCTGCCCAGGCGGCTGGTGGCGGATTTCCGGCGTATTTCGTGGCATTCAGGCTCCTCCTTGTTCGTGAACGAGATGCGAGGCGCGTGCGCCCTCAGCCCGCAGACCTTGTGGCCTGTCACGCCGCGGCACAGCAGCTGGCTCTGAGTTATGTCTGCAACAACGGGGGAGGTCAATGAACAGTCCGTCAGTGCTTTCATGGAGTAGGGCCCCACAAGGTCGTACTGGGAAGTACCACGGCCACTACTGTGAACTAAGGCCAACGTGAAGCGGAGTGAAGGTTTCTCCTGCGAGGGAGCTGACCTGGGCTCACTGTAGTCCAACAGCTAACCCATTAGTCGTTGAAGATCTCAATGGGTGGCAGTAATCACTTAACGTGAACCGCCTGTTATCGAAGAAATCTCGTTTTAGCGTTCCGTACCCAAAGGGTGAAACGAACCCTATTACTAAGGCTCCGCTGTCTGTCTATCCGTCTGTCACCTGTATGATACAGCCTGTATCTAATGAACTGTGATAGTTAGATAGCTGAAATTTTTAGAGATTATTTATTTCTGTTGCCGCTTTAAAAACAAATACAAAAAAACGGCCAAATGCTAGTCGGACTTGCGCACGCAGGGTTCCATTATCTATAAAAACGGCAGAAAATCACGCCTGTTGTTTGAGCCCCACTTACATATTATTTTATACTATTTTTTTGTCATTTGGACGGTTTTTTGGGTGAACGCACAAATGAATTTTAATACAGTTCAGATCAGAGTATAAAATTGGATGAATTGCAAGAAGAAACTAACTTTAACATGCTTACACGATATAACAAATTAATCTATTATTACTAATGTATACGTTGTTACTAAGGTTTCATTTTAAAAAATCTTGACTCCATAATTTCACATTTTGAAATGTTTTAAAGTTTCATTTTAAAAAAATCAATCAATTCAATTCATTTATTTTTTTATTGTAACATATTTTTTTTTAGTAACGTTCTTTTTATACTGCTTTTTTTCTGTTTTAACCATATTTTAGTTAATGTTTGTATTATTATAATGCTCGTATTTCACATTTAGTTTTGTAAAAGTTTTTTGGTTTTTGTCTCTACTGCCTGTTGTAATGTAGTTTTTACCTATAATTAAGGTACCACTCATCACATTTTTGTAAAACTTGTATAATTATTGTCACAGTGTGTACTTTGTTGGTGATAAATAAATAAATAAATAAATAAATAAAAATCTTGACTCCATAATTTCATCATTCATCATCAATCATCAGATTCATCATATAAATCTTCGGTCAGTAATGAAAACAAAACGAAGACACCGCAGAGAGAACTGGACTATGTCCAATAAAGGAATAATGTCAATGATAAATTTTTATCCTTACTCCCATCGAAAGGTATTGGGAACATATTTGTCGAATTTATAGTGAACGGAATGATCGTGAAGTGACATTGTGGTTGGCCTTAATAAAAGTAATAAATCGATGGGTCCTATGCAAAAGGACATAGCTAACAAATGTACAAATTGTTAGCTATGTCCTTTTGCATCCCTAAGCCTTAAAGATTTGTTTACAGTAAAATTAATTTACAGTAAACAACACCAATTAATAACGCTTTAATCATTATTTTCTCTGAGTGAATATTACGTAGCAAAGCTCTTTTAAGGCGACGCAGCTCTTTTCTTGCGTAAAGAAAAACTGAAGACAGAATTCTACCGCCATTATAAAGGGAAATCTCGGTAATAGGTAAGTCCTTTGTACGTATAACCTGTTCACACAATGCCAATAAAGCGGTGAGTAGGCACGCGTAGCGAGTGAAAACATTTCTTTTTCCTAAAGTTACGTGTAAATATTTGGCGGGAATTTTGGGAGCGTTGTGTCTGGTGAAAATCAAGTAGGGGTATTCTGTTGACACTTTTCTCATTTAAACTGGCTTACGTGGGCTTCTGTTAGGCTTACCTCGAACTATAACTCTATAAGTCTTCTTTCTATATATATTTTTTTTCACATTTTTATTTATAAAATTATGTGATGAAATAATAAAACGATTTAAATTTGGAAATGTTTTATGGTTTATCCGCCGCAGCACATGTCCTACTTATGTCAGATAGTTTTTACGATCTTTAGACATCCGTTATAGCATGGGTACAATTCTACTAAATGTTAAGAGATGTTACCCATAAAATGTTGAGTAATAAATTCAGTATAAACGCCTCCAATATTCGTCTTGGTCATGTGGCGTCCCATTTAATACGAATGTGTCTTAATTTTTTTGTTTTGTCATATTAAAGAAAATGTTATAAATAACAATTAATATGAAAATTACGTTATTATAATAATATCCGGCGGTGTTACGTTATTATAATAGTGTCCGGGCGCTCGCCTTTAATTTAATATACTCGAGCAACCTGAGTTCGATCCCCGGTGCCGGCACCAATGAAGTTTTTAACTTTAAGTACTGACTTATCAAGTGCTCCGCGGTGAAGGAAAACGTCGTGAGGAAACCTGCATATTTTCGAATTAATTATTTAAAAAACAATATGTATTTCGAAGATATGTGAAGTGCCAATCCGCAGTGGGGCCGCGAGGTGGACTATGCCCCGATACCCTCTGTATAGAGGAGGCCTTTGCCCAGCAGTGGGACATGTATAGGATGTTACTTTACTTTTAATAATATCCAAGGTTCTGGACAAATTTTATCAAGCGCTATTTTCCCTACACTCATAATCTTATTTCTATTTCTTTTTTGCCTTTAGTGTATGAAGTCATCGACAGACATTAGGGTCTTCTTAAATACCTTTACTATGATCAATTTGCTGTGTTAAAATTTAAGAACTAGACTAATTTTTCTTAATTTATTTTATGACAATGATTAACCACATATACAACACACACACAACACCATCGGCTTGGGACTTCCCTAAAAGCTATTTCAAATGTTGATATAAAATTTCAAAACTATATTTAGCAACCAAATAACCACTGTTAACGTGCTAAACGTTTTTAGCTTATTGCTTATCGTGTCGGTAACCCTAATGTGGTAGACGAAATTCGATTTTAAGTCGATCTGAAATGAAATTTACATCGGTACTATTAACTTGTCCTGTGGGTTTTGAACCAGGGTAAACCACTGGACCACCTACACAAATATTAAATATTTAGGCGCGTTACGGGCGAAGTGATAGACAAATAACACCATTTGTTTGTCCACTTCCAACGAACCGCTGTACGAGTGTACGTGTTTGCATAAACGTGTCCCTTCTGCATGGGCTTGTTGATTTTCAGGTATGCGGTGAGCTGGTAAGTCCGGTACAACGGTCCCGTCTTCTTATAAAATAATTTCGATTTATACATGTAGATTTTAAAACTTGTAGAAAAACATTGAAACATTAAAACTTGTAGAAAAAGTACGAAAAGATTGTCGCCGCTGTGGGAATCGAACCCACGTCTTCGGCATTCGCGGCCTGACGCTTTAGCCACTAAGCTAAACGGCTGATTGCCACACCGACGAAACGTCTTCAATCAACATTAGGTAAATTTTCATTACCTTGTTATAGTGACTGCACATCGAGGGAATAGGCGATGGTCAGTTCATTTTAATTTATATGTTTTAGTAGCCACACCACAGTCTTCGTTAAAAGACGTTAACTTCCAAATAATGTTTTGAAGAAGCAATTGACCTTCTATACTTTCTGGTTATAATTGACATTCGCATCTTATCGATACGACACTATACCATTGCATAGCTCTCGACTATCATCTCGTAGAAATATAAAAAACAAATAATTAATCGGGTTTTACAACTTATATCTACAAAGTCATTCAGAAGTAACACGATCACTTAAAGATACATTGGTCATTCATCTGTGTGAATTTGTGTGTGTGTGTGTGTAATCGTTCCCCGGTGCCGGCACCAATGAAGTTTTTAACTTTAAGTGACTTACTTGACTTATCACGTGCTCCGCGGTGAAGGAAAACATCGGGAGGAAACCTGCATATTTTCGAAATAATAACAAAAAAAATATTCCGTAATTATGTGAAGTCCGCCAATCCGCAGTGCGGAGGCCTTTGTCCAGCAGTGGGACATGTATAGGCTGTTACTTTACTATGTGTGTGGTTTTAACGGCTATTATTAACCAATTAACGAATTCAAAATTAGTTATGAGTCATAATAAACAATTCCTCATAGCTGACAGATTAATTTTAACATTAAAGCAACGACTCGACAAAACCGCTAAAATCAGTTAAGCGTTATGCTTGGTTGGTAAGTTCATTTAAAATTAAATGTTCTAGAGCAAATTCTGGTCACGGTTTGATTTGTTAAGACTTTAATAGAAATTTAATTGTTTACTGTAAATTGTAGTTTATTGGAAAAGCTGTTTAGAGGCGAAAAAAGTTCTCCACACCCAATTTAATTAGGACGTATTTTTAAATTACAGTTCTCATAAAAAAAAGAAATTATAATGTTTCCATATGTAACACTACCATAATAAACGATTTGAAATGAAAAATAAAAGTTTCATAGAATTCAATAGTTCCGAAACTATTAATAAAAAAAAAACAAAAATGTACAAAATGAAAATCACTTGATGTATTTCTATAAAATTGAATTGACAAAAAGTAAGAAGGTCTTATCAGATCAGTTCATGGAAAAGGGTTGATCTTGCAAAAGCGTTTTATCTCCAACGAAAGGGACAAAGGATTTCCTATCAAATGTGTTGGTATGAAAATCTAACCTCAAAATCCCCTCTAGGTACGTTGATATATACTGCGTGCCTAGTTGGCGGGACCATCTTGTAGGTTGGAATCTGGAATACTATAAGTGGACGTGCCATCCAATTGGCCTGTAACAATGTGCTTCTGCAGAGAAACGCAATCATATTGGTAGATGAGGTACAAGTATTACGAAATGAAATTATATTTACGAGTTTATCTCGTTTATTTAAAATTATTAAGAATTAGATATGTAGATGAAGGTTTTATATACTAATGTTGTTAAGTAAAGCTGTATTGTTTTAGGCAGCTGTTGCGTTATCTTCCTGCTGAGATATAGTCATGTCCACTTACTAGTCAGTAAATGCTGAAAGTGAAACTCAAGAAGAGAGCATACTCTTTCCTAAAAGGCCGGCAACGCATTTGTGAGCCCTCTGGTGTTGCAGGTGTCCATGGGCGGCGGTGATCACTTACCATCAGGTGAGCCTCCTGCTCGTTTGCCGCTTTTTTTCCCATAAAAAAAGAATAAAAGTGAACAAAGTGCGACAAAAATTTTATTCGCAAATTGTTTCGTTCCTGTTTGTTAACGTGAATATTGCTAGTATCAATAAAGAATTAATATTAAAACCGTTATATGGATAAACATTATTCAAATTAACTGTGAACTTATAAACTAACTCCCCATTTTTTGAGTTGTAAAGAAGGACCAGTCTCTTAATGTTATTTGTCATTTGAAAAGGCGGCAAACTAGCTGGTGGTTCACCTGATGTTAAGTGATAACCGAAGCTCATTGACATTTGCAACACGTGGGTTGCAGATGCGTTGCCATTTTCGTTATTATTTTAAGTTTGATTATCGTAAAAAAATAAACCGCTAGAGTGATTTAAATAATCGTTAGCATTTCGGAAATGTTTCGAGTTTTTTATAAACAAATAATTTCCACGTAACCAAGCACACACACATAAAAAATCAGTTATAATGTTTGATATTGTTTTTATGGAAAAGGTGGCAAAAAAAACAGAAATTCTTTGAAGGAATCTGACCACTACCGTCTATGAATCTCCACCACCGTTGCCAGACATATCATAACTTTCC